AGCCAGATGCATAGAAATGCTAGGATAGACAACTAGACCTATAATTAATTCATGCCATGGTACGCGACACCAGAAGGGCAAAGTAAACTAAAAAAGTCTTACTGCAAAGTGGCTTTCCTTCGCAGTTTTTGCCGAGTAGTGTTAAAATTCATCTAGGTAGGAAGCGCAGCAACTGTTACACGGAACACACTACACAAGCGCTTCAGGATTCATACCAACTGGCCCGATAGAATTGTTTACTGTTTCAATGCGGGTATTAGCTAGCTACTTCTGTATTCTACATGTCCGCCTCATGCAAAAAAAAAGAATTAAGCGAATGACAGCCTACGCCCCACGTTACTATGCTATGACAATACATAGGGTCACTATTTCTAGGCTACCTATATTATCATAGCCCTTTTTCACTTTACTGATGTTGTCTTAATGTCAGGGGGATAGCTTCTTCACTACCCTGAAAGTATTGCAATGCAGCTCCCACTCACCGTACCATGTGCGATAGTCCTGTTATCTGAGCGAAACGTCACGTATGACATCATTTAAACGAAAGAAAAATGTGTGCCCGGTGTTGCATAAATAAACGGTGTCTACGCGGGTAGAGCAACAGTGGACCGCGAACTGCTGGCCTAGCAGTGGCGTCGTACGGGGTGTTTCAGCACAAGTGACGGAGTGTGCAGATGAGACCACAATTTTCGCTGGGGCAGACTTTAGTGTTCGGGAAGCAAGAAGCACTCGTGGAAACAGCGAGAAATGGAGCAGGTACACATTCTCAGAGCCGAGGACGCTCCATGTGCAGGAATGCCTCAAGCAGAGGAATTCCTTTAAAATTAGGTGTATATCTAGGTAGGCGATAGATAAAGTAACGGCAGATTAGGTTAAAGCAAGGTACAATATGTTGCTGTGTCACCGCAAATGAATCCTGTGACTGTTTTGATTATCTTTATAGGAACCACCAACATTGTGTTTAATATTGAAGCTCTTGTGGTATAGCGTTCCCAATAAGCGAACCGTTCAAATGTTTCTTTGCAAGACAACCGGGCTTGAAAAATATACTTGCAGGTAACCTTGCATCATCTTTTATCTTTTAAAGCTGGACATACTGGATGAATTTCAATACTGGAAGCAAGTTCTGAACCGCCAATCGTTGTGTTTCTCCCTCACAACGTCTATCAACTACATGCGCAGCAGCGCTGATCCCATCGACTTCGTCAATGAAGTCCACAATGACGAAGACGTACAACGATTCGGACGGGAAAGAGTGAGTATTGCCACAGCTATGAATGTTACTTTATTTTTTATTTATTTACAGATACTGCAGGCCCTACCCGGGCCCATGCAGGAGTGGGATACAAACAATACATTCAAGCAATAACTAGTAATACACTGGAGTACAGGGCATAAATGAAAGAATACATAACTATCAAGTACAGAAAAGTCAAATATATTTTCTCGCTGTTCAACAGAACTGCGCACAACTAAGAATATTTTCAACATTTGTAGCCGGATGAATTGCACTCAAATGACACTATTTTCAGCATACATCACTTATATGGTGAAATTAATCTTTTCTATCTGTTGAGTGAATGAAGCCGTCGAGGCAGCATTCACTACTTCCGCAGGTAATGCGTTCCAATGAAAAATTGCGCGAGGAAAGAGAGCGAACTTGTGGGCATTAATGTGGCTGGGTTGCTGCCTAAACGTTTTGTTGTGATTTGTCCTAGCTGAAAATTTAGAACGCTGCTGAAGGTATCGTTCCCGTGATAATTTAAAGTCCCCGTGATCAAGTTAGTAGACGAATTTTAATCTGGATATTATTCTGCGCTGTTCTAGTATTTGTAGGCTTGCCCTATTACGCAGATTAGTTACACTATGTTGTCGGGAGTAAGCGGAATATACAAAGCGCGGAGCTAAATTTTGGACCCTTTCTATTTTCTTAATCAAATATTGTTGCCAAGGGCTCTAAATAATGTCGGCATACCCCAATTTTGGTCCCGCGAGTGCTTTATACGCTTTTAGTTTTAACGTGGGAGGAGTGTTACGCAGTTTTCTTTTCAAAAAGGATAATTTCTTCAGTGCACCCGAACACACATTTTCAACGTGCGTTTCCCAACTGAGGTTACTGGTAAGTGTAACTCCCAGATATTTATTCCGATCAGCTCTCGTGATTGCAGCATTTCCTATGAAATATGTGCAGTGAAGGGGTAACGTTTTGTTGGTGAACGTGACGGAATTTGTTTTTGAACGATTTATTTTTAGTCCCCACCTTATACACCATTCGTTAATTGAGGGCAAGGCATCATTAAGTTTAATTTGGTCTTCTTGGTTATTTATGGATGTGTACACTACGCAGTCGTCTGCAAATAGTTTAATCTGAATCAGTGGCTCGACACAAAAATAAATATCATTAATATAAACCAAAAAAGAAGAGGTCCGAGGACTGAGCCCTGCAGAACTTCCGAATGCACTGCCAACTCTTTCGAGAGACAGCCATTTATGGTAACACACTGTCTTCTGTTACTCAAGTAGCTCGCGATCCATGCTACACCCTTCTGCTCAATGCCTGTAGCTAATAATTTTGTTATTAAAATCTGACGGGGTACGACGTCAAAGACCTTAGAAAAATCCAAAAAGATGGCATCGGTTTGACCTTTTAAATTAAGCGTTCTAATTAAATCATCAATTATTTCAGCCAGTTGGGTGACGGTCGAGTAGTTTGTTATTTTCTACGTAAGTGATCATGGCCTTAAATATAATGTGTTCAAATAATTTACAGCAAGTACTAGTTAAGGAAACAGGCCTGTAATTGTTAACTTCCAAAGTGGAGCCCGATTTATGTACCGGAATTATTTTTGCCGAGCGCCAGTGATCAGGAATAACTGCAGCGTCTAACGATGCAGTGTAAATGCGATGTAAATATTTTGCCACCCAAACGGCATATCTACTCAAAAAAGTATTAGATAGTTCATCCGGACCAGGTGATTTCTTTACATCTAGTTTGTGTAAAGTGATTTCCACTTCTGGCATAAAGCTATCAGAGTCATATTGCCGCAACTGAGCATGCGTGGCTGCCCGTGTAAAAACAAACTGGAAAAAGACATTAAATTTGTTGGCAATGGTAGTCGCGTTAACAATACTTTCTCCCGCGACCCTGATCTCTGAAATGCCTCGTTTATCTTTTGACAGATAGCGCCAAAATTTTTGGGGTTCATTCTTCATGAATGACGGTAGAGTATCTGAAAAAAAGCTTTCCTTTGCCGATCGCGTTAGTTCTCGCAACTTATAAGTAAGGCTTGAAAAATCACTCGTTTCCGACGCTTGCGCTGACGCTCAATTTTGCGTTTCAAATGAATCATTTTTCTCGTGAACCACGAATATTCCCTATTACCTCGTTTCTTTTTTAACGGCACATATCTTTGCTCGCAAAAGAGAACGATTTCTCTAAAATTTGACCACATTTCATTGACATCATTACCTTGGCTAAAACAATCAAAGCGCGATTCCAAGTATTCTAAAATAGCGTTATCATCCACATGAGTGTAATCTCTCACGAAAGTATCCGATGGTCTAGTAAATGAACGTGTTCCTGAAACAGGACATGACACAGCAAGCAACTTGTGATCGGATATTCCTTCTTCTACATTGGCTGAACAACCTTAGAACGAGCTGCTAACCAGTGCCAAATCAAGGAGGAATGATGATGAACTGTCAACCCTGGTAGCCTCAGAAACTAGTTGTTGTAAGCAGAAGTTGAATGCGGTCGTAATCAGTATATCTGCACTTCGAGATTCTTTGCCATCATAAGAAAAATCATCCCAGTTTATACCCGGTAGGTTGAAATCTCCTGTTATTATAATCCGGGATCGAGAATTTGTATTATCTGCAAGGTAGTCTTGAATGGCTTCTAAGTATTCGGGCGAAGAACTCGGTGGTCGAGACACGCCCCCTAAAAGTATTCTTTTACCAAGAAATTTAATTCTGCACCACACGCTTTCGTGGTTGTTGATGCCATCCAAAACAGTAATTGCGACGTTGTTTTTAATGCCGATTGCTACTCCTCCCCCACGTGACTCCCTATCTTTACGAATAAGCTTGTAAGAAGACGGTATGACTTCCGAATCTTGCACATCTGCATGTAGCCATGTCTCAGTGATTACTAAGACGTGTGGCTGATAACAGGAGATAACGTCTTCAAGAGAACTGGCTTTGTTAACAACACTACGCGCATTCCACTGAGTCTGTAAGTGTCCCCAAAGAGGGCTCCTTTCTCAAATGAGTGTTCGAAGCTAGGATACGTGATTCAGAATAATGACTATAGTGCTCCCTAATTCCACCTTTTCTGAATGTGGATTGTCCTGGTTGAGACGGCTGGTCTTAGACTCCACTGAAAAGTGGGGCCACAGGCACTCTCAATAGCTGAATCAGCACTGAAGAGAAGATTTTCAAGCGAAAGCTGCATTGGCCAAGTCGAATGAATTTCGTTTTTTATCTGCGGGTAACATTGCCGCGGTGAGCACATACCCCACGACAAGCCCCGTAATATTAGGGGCGAAGCACCTGAAAGGCCAGTAAACCACAACAGACGCTGGCGTACTGCTGTCTGTGCCTTTCCTTGATCGAGAACAGCTTTAATGACTTCAACTGGCGCTGCGTACAATACAAACGAGGCAGCGTACTAGAGACCCTGTCATTGGGCCAAAAAAAGCCTGTTTTAAGCCAACACATGCACGCGCCCGTTCCGCCTCCACCTCGGACGCTGAGAAAGCTCAAGGAGAGGTAGTCAAACTAACCGAGGAACGCAGCCTAGCGAAGAAAAAACTCCCAAGCATTTCCCCGAGGGGGAACATGGTTAAGTGCTGTTAGGAATTTGCTCTGTCGCGATGGTAGCGGTGGCGAAGAGCGGCAAGCCGTTGAGCGGACTTATGGCGAATTCCATTGGGAGAGCAGGTGCACTCAAAAGCACGCTCAAAGTGCTCTCTTCCGAGGCGGCGTGTTTCAGTGGTCGAACAGGAGTAGGAGCACTGTCATCCATTGGTAGAGCGAGAGCGCTTTTGCTGCGCCGAGAGCAGCCAGGAGCAGTTCTGTCTGCTCCCTCTTAAAAAGCGGAGTGAGTGGAAAACGCAGGAAACCACGTGTTTGGAACGTCATGTCCGGACATACCCTCTCAGCAATCCTCCTCACTTGTTTACATTTTGCGGCGTCGTGTCGGGCGGTTATGGCGGCAGCGAAGCGTGCGTGGTGCTCGGGCTCGAACGATTTTAACGTCGTAGCGGCAGATTCTGGCAGTGAACGTCCACCTTGCCTGCCTTCAGATTCACGGATGGCGGAGGCAGCAAAACGTCGTCGTCTTGCCGAAGTATTTGACGAGCTAGACGATGTCAGCAGCGATAGCTGCTGGAGCTCTACGTCCGAGTCGAGTTCAAGCAGCAGCGACGATGACGACGAAGTGTATGCAGCAGCGTTTCAGCAGCTCTTTTCTCTGCCAGAGCGAAGGCCGAAAGTGGAAGCATATGTTACAAAGACGGTGGCTAGCTACTCCGACGAGGAGGTGAGTCATTCGGCTTCTGTTTTAATTAGGTTGCTTAAAGGCCTGTTTTCTTCCAGTTCAAAAGAAATTTCCGCGTCACGCGGCCGGTCGTGGACTTCTTGGCAGCAGAATTCGCCAAGTCACCGCACTGCCCTCAGAACAGTGATCATGGTGGCCTGCCTGCCAAGTCGGCTGAAGAACACATTCTCTCCTTTCTTTGGTGAGTGTCCGTACGTTTAGGAATGCCGCTGTCATCAGGTCACTGCATAATCCGTTTTATAGTGGGTTAGAGGCATATGAAATATTGCAAATAAATGTACCTAATTCGCAGCATGTCATTGGACCACCTTGCTTTAAACTTGTTAAATGCTACTAGCGAGTGTCGAACGTAATAGAGTTATAGTATTTTGTGAAATGCTTTCGTAGTTTGTACACCTACACACTGAGCTTCACAAAATTCTCGTTACTAGAATCAGTGGCAAAGCATAATTCATGATGCATCATTACAAACAACCATGAAAACTTTTGCTCACGAAGCATTTCAAATCGGCTGTGTCAGCAGGTTCACAGTGAGCTTCATCTCCACACTTATAAATGTAATGCGCGAATTAAAATTAGAATTTGTTATTTAGATAGTGCTTCTACTAATCAAATATTTTGAGTTTCTAAGGTGTCACCCAAAAAGGTGGAATCGTGTTTTCTGACTTCAGTTGTCTTGCTAATTTGCTTCATTGACAGCGACAGCATTGTTAACACCATTATTCAGTCATTGACAGCAACAGCAAGCTTAATTCCATTATTTAATTAGAGTATCCTCTCCTTTTCAGGTATGCAGCCAACAAAGCATGCATTAGAGATGTCGCTGGCCGCTTTGAAGTCGCAGAAAGCACTCACCACAGAATGATGGGCCGAGTAACTGCATTCCTGCTCGACATAGCACCGAATGTAATCAAGTTCCCCAGTGACCTGCAGAAGCTTGCTGTGGATTTTGAGAAGGTAACTATGCTTTTGTAAACATGCTATTTAAGGTATAAACTACAGTTTTTTTCACACCAATGTCATACAGCTCTACACAACTCAAGGGACCAGACTAAGAGGAATTACACCTACTCAAACCACAATAAGGACTGAAAGCAACTGATATGCAGGATCAGAACTGCAAATGAACAGAAAATGTAAAAATGCAAGAGATATGAAAGAGCACCACACAGTCAAGCCTCCTTCATGTGTATTACAAATGCTGTCAGCAATCGGACATTTTTCTTGAGTAGTTTTGACCATGTGATGCTGTTTCATATCTCTTCTATTTTCCCATCTTCTGCTTAGTGATGTACATCTAGTACTTGTCCTGCATGTACAGTGAATAAACCTAGAGTTCAGTTACTTGTGCACTCTGTATGTACTCTGTATGTGTCATTAATTCCCCTTCGTGCGGTCCCATGTGTTCTTTACCGCTCTACTATTACAATTATGAATTAGTTAGTGCCAGAATGCACCTTTTAAATAAGTTATTACAATTATTTTTCCCAGATGCTTCACAATTAAATAGCCAGTTAATTTCAATCATGTGTACCGGTAGTGTATTGCACTCGCCGTTATGAGCTTCAAGTCTCCAGTTTGTTTTAAACTTTTCCGCATGTTATTGGCACCTTTCATTACCCTTAGTGCCATGCTTATTTGACTATGTGTGTGCACATTTTTTTCTCTTGCAGCTGTCGGGATTCCCAGACACAATTGGGTGTGTTGACGGAAGCTACATGCCTATCAGGTGCCCAGCCAGGAAAGTGCGATCTGTTTATATAAACCGGCACCATTACCTATCCTTGACACTTCAAGGTGTTTGTGACAACAAGAAGAGGTTTCTTGATGCCAGCACTGGCTACCCAAGCAAAATTCATGACGCACGCATTTTCCGTCGGTCCAGGATTTCAAGTGTTTTGCCACAACTGTGCTCTAGCAAGTACCATATAGTGGGGGATGCTGCATATCCTTTCCGGGAGTACCTGATGACACCAATTCGAGACTATGGGAATCTTGACAGCATCAAAAAAACCTTCAATGCAAGACTCTCCGGGACAAGGGTGCTTATTGAAAATACTTTTGGCGATTTAAAAAATCGTTTCAGACAACTGCACAGGTTGGATATGTGGACAGTGGATAACATGTCCAAGTTTATCATTTCATGCTGTGTGCTTCACAACCTCTGCATTGATTGTGGAGATTTGCCAGAGAACCTGTCACGAGACCTGTCACTTACCTCACAAACAACAAATGTAGACTCAAGCTCTTCTGCAGTTCAAGTAAGCAGCAGTAGTGTAGCCCAACAGGATAGCCTATTACATGGCTTGGCTAGCATCAAGAGAGATCACTTGATGATAAAAATGGGGTTGCAGAACCAGCAGCCATGAAACAAGGAATTCCTTTACGTGTTATGCAGTTGTGAGCAAATATATGCTTACCAAAGGCCCACCTGAAAAGCTGAACTCGTTAAAACACCTTCAAGGTTGGGAAAAATTGTCCTTACCACACACCTGTTGGCCCATTTGCATTTTCTCAAGGTAGTGTATTGTGCCAAACTAGAAAATAAAAGACATTGAAACTAAGTAATCGCTTTGGGTAGTACGTTTATTTATTTAAAACTACCACTTTATTTTGGAAGTCCAAAGGCCTGACGGAGAATCTCCATTTTTTCTTCATGCATTTTGCGCCGCTCTTCACGAAGCACCTGTCGCTCGGCCTGCCTTTCAGCTCTTCGATTTTCTTTTTCTTGACGTCTGGCCGCCTTTTGAGCCTCCTTTTCTTCTTGCAGTGCCCTCATTTCAGTAAAAAACAACTGCATGTGTGCCAGGCGTGCAGTTCCTACCCGTGGCTTCGTGTCGGGATTTGAGGACTGCGTCTTATTTTCCTCAGTGGTGTTGGCAGGTGACAACACGGCCGGAGATTCGGGCGAGGCTTTGAATGTAGCCCCTGAGGCGTCTCGCTCTACCTCCGGTTCAATGCTGTCATCAATGCTTTCAATTTTTTTCACCTCGTCGTCAAAAGGCACAGGGGTGGGTGAAGCACCAGACCTTTTGTTATGGTCGGAAGACGCCTTCCGACGCCTAATTACTGTTTTGTACCTATTTTCACACTGTTCTGGGGTTTTGGCTATGCCAAGCACAGCCTCGATGTCCATCGATATTTGTTTAAAGGCTTGCTTCCTGTTTTTGAATTTTTTAAATGGGCCAATCTGAGGGAAATATTTGAGGTAGTACTCTAGGAGCAGCCTTGTTTGCCCCTCTGTCCATTCAGCAGCTAGAATAAGAAAGAACCAACACATAAATGGTTTATTGGGAAACTGTCGGTCATTGTGCAGGCATTACTTATAATTGAATAATTTAACACACAGCACGGTCACTTGAGCTTAATTATCAATCAGCAAGCATTAATCAACAAAACAAGCATTTGCGCAGACTAGCAAACATACATAAGTGATAAGTTCTGGTATTGTGCATGTAAATGCAATATGCAAATTGTGCCAGTCTTCCAGTAATTGTAGTGGTCTGCTTTCCATGCTCTCTTTTTTTTTTGTCATTTAAGGATCACTCCTACAAGTACACTTTTACACGCTCTGATGCATGCTTGTTAGATTTACCCAAGAACACTTGCTGAGGCAATTGTAGACACTCAGTGTTAATATACTTGCCTCCACCTCCTCTCCTGGAGCCTGATGGCTTGCTTTGAGCACCAGTCTCCCCGTCAGCTGATCTTGATGCAGTGGGAGCTGGCAGGTGCAGAGTATCTGTGCCATCTAAAAAATATAAATGAGCAGTAAATGTAGTGCCTCGCAATAATGTTAATACTAATACTTACCACCTCCTGTTTCAACGCATGGCAATCTGAGCTCCATGCGCATTTCTTCGCTCCCTCGCCTTGGCACATCGCCAGCCATATTTGTACGCAGAACTGCATCTGTTTTCACACAATGATGGAAATGTAATCAAATCAGTTATATAATGAAAATGGTTTCTCAAGTAGTCAGCTACATTATGCAAACTCGGATGCCTTACACTCGAAGGTAAGCGGATTAGAGCAAGCAAAAAACAAATTCTAAAAAAGTCAATTCATCATGTTACAGGGCTGCATGAAACACTGCACAAATCACTGATAATTAAAAAAAATATCGCTTATCATACGTAGCATCTCGACCCTGCGATAAGAAATCGTGCTTCCGAGGAGATGTATGGCTTCACCGTATCACGTGGGATGCTGATCTGCCGTCTGGAGACATTAGCCACTTAAAAATCAGAAATAAAAATAAATTGTTACTGCGTGCAATACTTAGCTGCACCCACGTGACACTTGCTACACGCCACTTCGCAGTTACTTTTCTTAAAACGCTGCGAATCATTCTGTTGCTGATGGAGGGGTCTGCAATGTAAGTTTGTTTTGAATTAAGGATTAATTACTCATGCAAGGAAACTTGGCAACAGGATAGTGTACTGCAGTACTTCTAGAATTGTTTACGTTTTGTTAACTGCTGATGACAGCAGCAGCTGGTAACTGCATGAACAGTCTGATAAAGCTGTCATATCCACGGTGTTTTTCTGATATGATAAAGAATAGTGGGCTTAGGTCCACGCGCGCAAGAATGCATTGCATGCTGCATGCGCGACAAGTGCGCTGAAACAAATAAAAAGCAATCAAATTCACTTTACCTTCCGTACTAGATGGTGCCTGGTGTTGAATTAAAGACAGTAGGATGCGCTGAGCTTCCGAGTCCATCATGTAGTAGTATACGAAGCAGCAGCTTTGCAGGATAGCGCGCAAGCGAGTGCGCTGTACCAACCACTGCCACACGTGCTTTCCTTGCCCGTCCGGATCAGACCGCACGTGTTTTGCAGCAGAGGACGCTGGGATGCACAACCTTTCTCCTCACTCGCCTTTTTATTCCCTCACACCTGCTCTGCGGAGGTGTGCCGCATTCCAGTGGCAGGTCGAGTGACGCGGCTCTCAGTGCTCTGCCCCCTACTCCTCTCTGCTCGGCACCCTTACTCCTGTTCTCTCAATGGAATTCGCCATTAGATGAAGCCTTAGCCCCAAGGTGAAACAGGGAGGCAATCCGTTTGGAAAACAGCAACAAAAGTAGCGTTTACTATCGCAGGTTGTCGTTTTACAGAGCCGGCCAGCACGACAACGTCGGCTGGGGCAAAATCTCCTAACATGGGGCCGGCTCGGCCTTAATTAGCGTCCTTGGTCCATTCTCTCGGACCAGTTCTCGGGCTCGGAGGGGGGAGATGTAGCCATACCCGGAACTGCAAAGTGGCCCGGCGGAGGAAACGACGTTATCCCCGGACTGCACGGTTCTCCTGCACAGAAGGCGGCGCTGGGAGGGGGGGGGGGAGACAGTTCGTCGAAACAGGGCTCGATCTAGAGAGACGTGCTCCCGAAGGAGGAACATGTCTGTGGCACAACAGCACCCCCGCCGCCAGACAATGCATCCGGAGTTTTGAGCCGTCAGCGCGGCTCGGAAGGAGGGATGCTGGTTGACAGTCGGTAGACGTTCCGCTCTCTCCGCCCGTTGAGACTTCCATAGGCCTGCAGAGGTTCACTGGAACGACGGAGTCGAACACAAAGGCGAACCACTCCGGCCAAAGTAAGCACCCTCCAAATGCTGATCAAATCGCCAGACCAGCAGAAACGAAAATATTTCCTAGAGATTTAACTGAGCTAAAAAAAATAGCATCACGAGCAATGTATCTGAGGAGCAATACATAATGTGGACACTCCTTTACAGTGCATGACACTGCTAAACCAAACAGAATTTTTTTTTTTTTCGTGAGCGATTTTCGATTGTGACCCGGGCAGATTAGGGACGATCGAAGCTGCCGATGTTGACTCAATTTGGTCCCGAATCTACAATTTAGAATACCAAGAGTTTTCGAATCACGCACATTTGCGTCGCCTGCAAGCATAAGACCGCTAAACAAAACAAAGCCATTCGATAAGCCCTAACTCAAAGTGTTCAGCCAAAGAGCATCCCAACAAATAAAACGCGCTTGAAAAAGTAAGTGAAGAACAATGAAAATCAAACTTGCGCGCGTTAAACAAAACAAAGAGCAAAGTTGACCTACACTGACGCGCATAATAAATGTAAGGTCAAAACCCAGAAGGTACTTTAAACAAGAGTTTTTACACAGCCTTCTCTGTTAAAATAAAACACACTAACTGTTACTTTTGAAATATCACGAAAACAAAAGTAATCAAACAAACATATCAATGCCTGCTTCTCCAATCGGAAGGAAAAGAAAACTTACAAAAATTCAGATGCATTCATAGTTCATAAGAGGGCGACAAAATTAGAAAAGGTTATTCTCAAAATTAAATACAACAAAAAAAAAAGCTGTTCGTATTAGCAAGGCGGTACTCTCTCAGGCGAACTCTGGGGAGTCGCGCACTCCACAGCTTTTGAGGGTTGCGGTCTGGACAAAAGGACGACGCATCAACCTGTTCGCCGAACTCAGTAGCAGCGACTTTTGACCCGCAGCCGCTGAACTCGAAGAAAGGGGCATCTGCACTGCATCGTTTACGCCGCCCGTTCGACCAGTAACCCTCTCGCCACGGTGGAGAACTACAGCCTTTGTTACAACTCAGAGGTACGCGATGTTTCCTCTCGTGGTTGCCTCTACGCGGCTTCAAAATTTGTAGGACCAGGCGAAGATCTCGGCGTCCGAATTTTCCCGAAAGCCGGTTTTTCTGAACACGCTGTCCGCCAAATCTTGATGTGCGTGACAATCTGCGCATGGAACATTTCTTGGGGTGCCCTTTCGTGCGCCTAGCCTTGAACCTGGCGTCTCGAATGAAGACGTCACGGCGCTTAACAGCGGCTCTAGCGCACGTGGCGCGCGTCGTCTTTACCACGTTACGCTTACGCAGATGCCTCCTTTTGACGGAATGGCTAGGAATGCCGGCTGTTTCGACACACCTAATTTCAAGTGCGCTGCCTTTGACAGGCACTGCCAAGACTCTAGACTGGTTAGCTAGCCTTTCTTCGGGCCCGTTGCTAGCTGTCTCTGCTTGCGACAGAACGGGATTCCCGATGCCATCAAAGCCAACCAACACGCCTAGAGAGCTTTTGATGTGTGAGGGTCTATCGCTGTCGTGGATAGCCCTAATTCTCTGGCCTTCGAACTTGGCCTCATGCTCTCTTTGACGCGATTCATTCTGTAGCGCTTTATCTCGCGCATACTGCTCAATATTTTGTCGACATGCGTCAACCTCTAGCGCCTTGCGATGCGACTCGCCGTCAAGCTCTTTTTGACGCGATGCATCTTGATCATGTGCGCTGCGAAGCGGCTCCGTCTCTGGCGCTTTACGATGCGCCTCTGCGTCCCGAGGTTTCCGATGGGCCTCCGCCCCTAACTCTTCGTGAGGCTCCTCAGTGCCCGGATCTCTCTGACGCACTTCGGCGTCTTGCACCTTGTGACGGGCCTCAACGTCAGATGCCTCGCGACTTTCCTCATCCTGAAGCGCTGCGCGACGGGCCTCCATTGCTTTACTGCGCGCGTCGTCCTCCAGCGCTTTACGACGCGCCTCTGTTTCTAGCGCTTTACAGCGCGCTTCA